AGTCATGCACCCAATTTACATAGGTTGTACTAGAATGTAAAAGTTTTTTAATAAAAATTATTAGAAAAAAATATATGTCCACAACATCTAAGCAAAAACTTGAAGAAAATCTAAATAGTTGCTTTGTATTATTTTGGTTTAATATTGGACAAATAATTTGCACAAGGGCAAATCTTGTGAAAAACGTATTAACTATACATTGTTTGATATTTGCCTCAAGGAGTGGCACATCTGACAAAATATTACGAAATAGGCCTGGGAAAATTGAATAGTTTTACGCACACTAACTTTACGTAACCGTCCTTCTCCCCTTCATTATTTGCGGAAAACGTTCAGTTTAAAAAAAACCCGGAATATCTGAGTTATATTAATACATTTGTTCCTTTACGCATGGGACAAATAGTTGTGGCAAAATTAAGGTGTTGGGAATTGGCGCCAGGGTCACTTGTAATGCTAATTTGCGACTCCCGTAAACAAGATGCGAGGTCTACTTTTCCTGTTACATTGTCTCAGGTTTTGAGGGTTATCTGTCATATTCAGGCGGCGACTTCTTTCAACACCTTTTTCACTTTGATATGCAGCAGCGCGTCTTCCTCTGTCTCTGTTCTTGAGGGTTATATTACCTCAAAGAGTGACACATTTCACAGCACATAAAGTTCTCCTGTCTCCGGCGCATGTTAAAACGACACAGCGAAAAAAACTTTAAAGAAAAAAATCACTTACAAAGTTACATGACCTAACTGTAAACGGCCAGTTTTGGAAATGACATGTGAAGATAAAGGTTATATTACCTCAAAGAGTGACAAACTTCACAGCACATACAGTTCTCCTGTCTCCGGCGCATGTTAAAACAACACAGCAAAATAAAAAAACAGTTTGAAAAAAATCACTTACAAAGTTACATGACCTAACTGTAAACGGCCTTTTTCATTTCTACTGCTGAAAAACTGAAAGTTTTGGAAATGACATGTGAAGATAAAAGGTCACATTTAACATTAGATGTTAGAGCTTTCCATAGTGATTGCATCGAAACTTTTAATAATAATAAAAAAAACTATAATCAATTGCGTTCTTAGTCGTATAGGCTACATAAAAATATATAGCTGGTCTGTACATACAAAAAACAAGTCCAGCCTGCTCTTGGTTTGAGGAAAAGATTTTTGATGTTATCTCCTTGTAATTCTTTGTAAGATGTGTGTCTCTTAACACATCAGTGGCGTTTGGGTAATGTCTTTGTGTCTCTTTGTTCTGCAGTTTGTTCAAAAAATCTCCTCAAAGAAGATCAGAAGCTCAATTTGCATATCTAGCAATGTAATCTTAGTTTATGCAATTGACTGAATATTTCAATGGCGTTATGATTTATAGTTAAAATGAGAGATCATATAGGCCTAGTGATTGTAAATGCAACATAAATGTAAGAGAAGAAAGTCAATATGATAAGAATAATTTAAATATAACCTGTAGAAATTATACAATGCGCAAGTTCTTCCTCTGCCTTAAAAAGCTATTATTAATAACAGTATTACACATTTTACGCACGGCGTTTAATTGGTTATTATTTCATAATGATAATCTCTTATCCAGTGTGTTTTATGACGAATGTCTTCATTTTATCAACATACACTCTTAAAAATAAAGGTTCTTCAAGCGATGCCATAGAAGAACCATTTTTGGTTCCACAAAGAACCATTCAGTCAAAGGTTCTTTAAAGAACCATCTCTTTCTTACCTTTTTATCATCTGAAGAACCTTCTTTCGCCACAAAAAAACCTGTTGTGAAACAGAATGGTTCTTCAGATGTTAAAGGTTCTTTATAGAACTATTTAGACAAACAGGTTCTTCTATGGTATCGTGAAGCACCTTTATTTTTAAGAGTGTAGTTTTCATACTTGTTCGTTCATTTCCCATTTCTTAGGCAAAACGAGAACGAAGGAGAAATATCGAGTTGTGTACACAGACCATCAGAGGTTGGAGCTGGAGAAAGAATTTCATTTTAATCGCTACATCACAATCAGAAGAAAATCAGAATTGGCAGTAAACCTCGGGCTTTCAGAAAGACAGGTAAAAATGACTTCACTTTAGATTTTTACTTATAGAATTAGATTTATCTCACTAGTTGAAAATTAGACATTTCTTTCTATAACCGTTTGACTTTTGTCTTCACAGGTAAAGATCTGGTTTCAGAACCGCAGAGCTAAGGAAAGGAAATTAATCAAAAAGAAACTGGGTCAGTCTGACGGCAGCGGAGGGTCAGTCCACAGCGATCCCGGTTCTGTCAGTCCCCTACCGGTACCAGGGTCACTGAGTCCGTCAGACATACACGGTTCTCTGTACCCACCCCCAGGAATGAACGCCTTACCATCTATGAGGAACATACAGCAAGTTACTGTCACTCAGTGAACTCGAACTTGAAAGATCCAACTTTAACTGAGCACTCCAACACGCTGAAAGGACCGAACCGAAGCGGACCGCTCGCGTGGCCAAAACGGATTACAAACTTACATGACAGGCATCAAGGCGCGTGTTGTGGATTACCACAGAAGAATCACGTCTTAAATGCAACGAAATGCTGGAGGCTCTTCAAATATTGTTTTAATAGAATAGTTTTTAAAATTAAGAAAAAAAAACATACAAAATGTTTGTCTGATCCAGAGACTAAATATTTTAATGGTTTGTTTGTGTTTGCTCAATTAAGATATAAATATCATTTTCTGTATGTGGTGAGTGTATCTAAATGTTTGTAAATAAAATGAAACTACAGGTACAGCGTTTCTCGGGATGTATAATGATCCTTACCCTAGAACTGTTAAACTTTTATTGTCTGTGTATGCCAATGACCTGTGATGGCAGGCTGTTTTATGCTCCAGTTTGTGTCCAAAGCGCACGTCGTTCACTTTCTTTTCACAGGGGTGATGTGCAGGTGTCACATTCCTAATATGGGTATAGCGTTTGATTCCAACAATGTGTAAATAAAAAAGTTTTGCAATAGTTTTTTTTCGTGTCTTGATATAGCCTATTATTAAACTTAAACGAATGAAATATTGTATGTTCATCAGCTTTAGGCATTCACCTTTAATTTACCTTTTAAACGTGAGACCACTCTGTAAACGTACAAACTGCATTTGGGCTCGTTTTTCAAATTAAGGCTGAACAACTTAATTTGTAAAGTTATATAACTAGGCCTAGGCTATAACGTGTTTCTGTACAAATGCAGTAGCCTATATTGAAATAGGATGATTAGAGCAACAAAAATGTCTTATTTTGGCGTCACATATTGTTGTACCATTGTATACAAGCAGCATTTACTTTTAAGTTAACGATTTTCCCCCCCCAAAAAAGGGAAAAAAAAGTTACGAACAATGGCTCAAAACTAAATTGTGGGAACAGCTGTAGGTCTGTCAGTAAATCTTGAAAAATGATTTACAAATAAACAAATGTCTGTCAGGAACCTTTTATATTTTCTTCATAGAATAGCCTACATTTGGGAGGGAAATCTGTATAAATACTTTCTTTACAGTTTGCACAGTGCATCTCTCAGCTAAACACCACGTCATCAGTGTGACATAAGCACTTTTATGTTGTAACATGCTTGTTAGGCCTATTTATTTTTTAATTTCATTTGAAACAAATCAACAGTTTGATTACAGCAGTTAAGAAAACTGATTTCACTGCATTTATCTTTAAATGGCACATTCCATAAATCCTATTATAGGTGTCCCATGACTTTATTAATTTAAAGCATTTAGAGACACTTAACCCCTTTTATGTGAGGCTTGTTGTTTTATGTTCTATTACAACAAAACATTACTGTATCTAACATCCAATTAACCCAAAATATCAAATGTCTGGTAAACACATCAAAATAGGGATTTTGGCTTACATTTACCAACTTGACAGTACCCGAGAAGTAGCTACAATAGCCTACAATAATTTTGTTATAATCTATTGAATTGATTATATTTGGGGGGGGAAAGCCTATACAGGTAGACAAGTGAATAATCTCATTCAATTTTTACAAAAAAAAATCAACAAATTTAGGCCTAATTCAATATTACCCAAGAAACGGGATCAAACAAATATATTTTCTGTAACTTATTGGAAAAGGGCCTATAAATGAAGGCCCTGTCAAAAATCGCAAACCCATATTTGGCCACAAGTTTAAATGTGCTACTATGCTACGCACTGTGTTGTTTTAAAAAATGGTGTCTATTTAGTTTTAATTGTATTTATTGTTTATTGCTAGAAACTACAAAATCGCACAATTCGGGCTCATAAACATTCTGTAGACAGGTCCCAAGTAAGGTTGAAAAGCTCATAGAAAAACAGAAGAAAATTCAGCAGCTCAAATACCTACTTAATTTCAACACTTGAAATTGATAACCAATCAACATTTTGCGCTTAAGCTCCTCACTTCACTCACTTTTTGTTGAAAAAGATATATATTGAAGAAGTACGGAGCCCCTTACGGAGCCCCTAAAGGGACATGGTGGTGGGAAAAAAATTCGGGGTGGGAGGAAAATTTTTTTTGCGTTCTCTCGCAAAACTTTTGCGTTCCCTCGAGAAACTTTGCGTTCCCTCGCAAAACTTTTGCGTTCTCTCGCAAAGATATTTGCGTTCCCTTTTGCGTTCTCTCGCAAAGATATTTGCGTTCCCTTTTGCGTTCTCTCGCAAAGATATTTGCGTTCCCTTTTGCGTTCTCTCGCAAAGATATTTGCGTTCCCTCGCAAAACTTTTGCGTTCTCTCGCAAAAGATATTTGCGTTTTGCGAGGGAACGCAAATATCTTTGCGAGAGAACGCAAAAGTTTTGCGAGGGAACGCAAAGTTTCGAGAGGGAACGCAAAAGTTTTGCGAGAGAACGCAAAAAATCTGACAAATATTTTTTCCTCCCACCCCAAATTTTTTCACTCAATCTGATTTTTTCCCACCACCATGTCCCTTTAGGGGCTCCGTAAAGAAGCGTTTCAGGGCCCTTTTGTAATTTATTCGTGCACAGTGCCAGGATGATGTCATCGGCGCTGTGCCAGAGACGTCATGAGCGTCCTACTGCCGAACATGGCGGACTTTGATACCATTTATGAGTTAGAAGAAGAAGATGAGAGAATTGTGAGTGAAGAACATCTCGTCAGATACTGTCCCGACCCTGTGGTCATGCGTGGGGCTGGTCACATCACCGTGTAAGCGTATGAATGCGGCAGCACCGCTGTTAGTCACTGTTAGCTCATATCTGTGTTTGTAGCCTCCATGCTAAGCTCACTGCACGTTTTTGTCGCCAAGTTGTGGTATCAAAATACACGTAAGCCGAGCTTCTCCAGCTGTATCCTGACAGTGATTTTAAGCGGAAGAATCAGCCCTCCTAACCCGAAGCCTTGTTGTTAGCACAGAGATTTATGGTTTTATTGCTGGCCGTGGATAAAGGCTGCCCCGCAACCACAATCAAACTCGTTAGGACCTTCGCTTTAATTTGAAGTTGTTTGGTAACTGTACTGTACGTATGCTGAGGTAAACTTGAGAGATAATATTTTAATTAATGCAATATTTTCTTGGGACAGTACTAGTACCTCTGCAACTGTCAGTTATGCACACATTTCTGAAGTTAAATCACCACCTTGACTAGTAGAGCTAAGTTTGAGTTATTTTATTATTTAATGAGGTAAACAATGTGATATTTCTACATGGGACAGCAGAGCCTACTGCAATGGATTATAAACAGACATCACATAAGACACTTATACAGTCTTCATATTTCCTGGCAATTCAAGTTAAATTTAGAAACTGAACTCTCTCACTTTGTGTGGTCTGTGTGTTGCTTGTCAAGTCTTTAATGACATTTACATCTAACTGAAATTAAAGCTATCTTTTTTTCCTGTCATGACACATCAAGCCTTTGTTTGGAAGGTAATCAACCACATAAAAAAAAATAATGCTTTGGTAAACATGAGTAATTATGAGAGAAGTCTAAATTGTGACATTACGTCATAATTATGAGATAAAATGATCATTATCACATAGTCAATTGACTGTTCATGCCACAGTTTTGAATTTATCTCATAATTTCATTTTAGAATGTCATAATTTAAACTTTTTGTCTCATAACTATGACTTAGTGTCTCATAATTGTATTATTTATTATGATGTCATAATTTTGACTTATTGTCATAATTGACTAGTTCAACATTTTTACTTTTTATGTCATAATTTTAACTTTTTATCATTATTATATCAAAGTATCTCTTGTTTACAAATGCATTATATTTTTGTTATGTGGCAGAAATGGCCTTCAATATCTTTTCCCCATAATCATAACCTTTTTAAAAAATCTGTGTTTGCAGGTTTGGACTAAGCAACAAATTTGACACAGAGTTTCCTTCTGTTCTCACAGGAAAGGTAATGATTTCTGACTCACATCTACAAAATAAATCATATTAAATTTGATTTATGGTGTGAATAAAATATCTTTCCCTGTTGACCTTTACACCATTATTCACCATGGTGTGAGCTTTTGATTAATACAGAATCCTTTGATGACGTCTCTAAAATGGTTTTAATCCAAGTGTGCTGTGTTTTTGCAATAGAATCTGTCAATAAGTAAACCGTCCAGGGCTCCGGTAGGCAGGGATCCCAGCGCTGGGAGGACACAGCTCCTGGTGACAAAATAATGAAAGAAACACTGTGCCGTCCACAAGAATAGGAAGCTTCCTGGGTCGGACGCAGAAATACAAAAAGGCTGCAGGGGGATGAGCAGGCCGAGGGAAGTGCGGGGCAATAAAGCGGAGCTCCAGTATTGTGACCCAGGGTGACATATGACGGATGAGGTCAGGATTATGATGACTGAAGGGTACAGATCAGGCCTGCTGGGCTTTATTCCGAGTTCTTTTGCTGTTTGCAAAGAGACCTTTGCATCCTGTCATAAAAGATTACGACCCTGGTTTTATAGCGTACATACCCAGAGAGGAATGAGCAGCCATTCATGTTGTTTAGACGGCGCAGCCACAGGCCACGGGCTTATCTCATCTTTTTGTCCTCCCTTTGCCCTGAGAGTGTCAGAGCTCGGTTGGCAAGTTACAAGCGTGCAATTGCAAGATCTCCAGAGAGCATCTGCAAACATGGAAGCTTTTCTTAAAAAACAGTTCCAATGACTTTTTATGGAACTCCTTTTATTTTTCTTGTATTTTTTTAAATGAATGTTTTGTTTTTATTTTGCCATTTATGTTCTATTAAAATATTTATTTTTTTATTATATTTTTATTTCTGTGTTTTTAAAAAGTATTCGGTTACTAACAATGCACAAAGAATCGTTTACTGGCTTATTTACAGTCCTGTTTTGCTCCTCTCCCATCTGCTCTAGGTTGCCCCAGAGGAGTTCAAGATGAGTGTCACTCGAGTAAATGCTTGCTTGAAGAAGAATTTACCGGTCAATGTGAAATGGCTGCTCTGCGGCTGCCTGTGCTGTTGCTGTACGGTGGGCTGCAGTCTGTGGCCTGTCATATGTCTCAATAAGAGAGTGAGTCCTTCCTCAGACGTGACCAGTCCTTCCCCCATGAATCTATATTAATTACTTGTTGCCTCATTTGAGCACCTAATAAATAAACCCGCTCAGTGAAGAGGCAAATAACAAACTACATCCACTTATTAACTGTGTGTTAAACTGATATATGTCAGATGTCATGGCTTGTTGAATTGTGGAAAGGTGGTGATTTTACAACTACAAATTTTAAGTTATTGGCCATGACGTGCAGCTTATAAGGTGCTTAACTACGAGCTTTGGCCCATAAATGTTTTTGAAGTCTTCATGCCCTGCGAGTTTTATTGGCATTTGTTAAACATGTTTGACAGGGTGATTAGCTTAAAAACCTGTGTGTGTCTCTATTTTTGTTCGTGTATAATTATTAATTTATATGAGCTAATTTTTGTTTGTGTGTTTCAGACGCGAAGATCCATTCAGAAATTGTTAGAATGGGAAAACAACAGATTATATCATAAGGTAAGCTCATTGCAGAATTAATCTCAGACACATAAAGATAAGGACAGCGGATCATCTCCAATTTAGCTGCCATGTTGAGAGTTGTTTAAGTCTTGGTGTGTGGTGGATAGCGATCATTAAAATGACTGCTAGCATTTGACCCTGTCAAATGCTTGTTGCCCTCGCAGCCATTTTGGTCTGATGCATTGATATAGTGCAGAGGCTGACCAGACTGTGGAAAGGTCAGCAGTAAAAAGCCACGTTCGTTTTGTTGTGTCTCGAAGCTTTGACTGGCAGCAAGTAGCGGCGCAGACACGTTAAGGAAACTCCGCTTAGCACTGGCCACTGCTTGACCTCGGCTAACCCTTGTGTGTAAAGTGTGTCTGAGCATCTGAAGTGCTTGTCTATTTTGAAGATCTACCGCACGGCTTGTCTAACCTGTCTCTTCCTGTGTCTCGCCTTCAGCTGGGGCTGCACTGGAAACTCAGCAAGAGAAAATGTGAGAGCAACAACATGATGGAATATGTAAGTTCATAGATTTATTTAGATTTTTTTCATGAAAGTTACGTAACTGTAATTAAAAGTAAATTATTTCTTTTCCATTTCAGGGCTCTAAGCTGCTACCTAAATGATTGCAAATGCAGCACAGAATTAAATGTGCAACAATAATTTAAAATCTAAGAGACAGTTAGATACTGTATATAAGAAACAGAAATACTGTATATTTTTATGTTAAAAACAGGCATGAATACACTTTTAAAGCGGTGATATTTATGTGGCACAAATACAACCATATTCATTAAAGTGATGGCATCAAATTGTAACTTATTTATGGTAAATACAACTAGAAACACAACCTATTTTATGGTACCTTTCAAAAATGTTTTTGAAAGATGTCTTCTATGCTCACCAAGGCAGCATTTATTTGATTTGTATTTAAAAAATACAGTAAATACAGTAATACTGTGGAATATTATTACAAGTTAAAATAACACTTTTTCACTGTTTCTGCATCATTACTCCACACTTCAGTGTCACATGATCTTTCAAAAATGATTCTAATATGCTGATTTGCTGAAATGTAAATCTTTTGTAACATTTTAAATTTATTTACTGTCACTTTTGATAAATGTAGTGCATCCTTGCTGAATAGAAGTATAATTTCTTTTTTCTTTTTTTAAGTCTTACTGACACCAAAAGATTTGAACGATAGTGTCTATAACTTAATTTCGTAATCACAGCACCTGACTGCTGTTAAAAGCTAAAGTAGGAAGCTTTGCACTCTGAACTGAAGCGTTTCTGAACAAACATGTTTATCGAGCGATTCTGTAATTTGTAACTAAAAGAGTAATTTGACTCCTAAATGTTTCATTCAGTCTTTTTTTTTTTGTCTGGAGATCTGCATTTTCTTACAAAGTCAGACCATAAAGTTGTAAATCACGAGGCTGGTGATTTTTAACCCTCAAGTTGCTTGCTTAAAGGTCCCCTGAAATGCTTAGAAACACACAGCGTTACTCTGTGTTGACGTCATTTTAACTGAAACAGGAAGACAGAGCGGGACATATTAAGCAACCCCGCCCCTTTTTAAAATAGCCAATAGCGTTAGTTTATATCACAGCTTGGGCTAGAGCCGTTGAGCTCCGTAAAGCCACATTTGACAGGGTATGCCAGCCACAATCTCATCCATATTGCTATAAAATATAGCATTCTGTGTAGAATTCAAATAGCTCCGATACATTTTGTGGTCTGCGCCGACTCGTGCATGTGATCCGCTCCGGAGCAGAGTGTGTGTGCGTAAAGCTGCATTTGACAGGGTATGCCAGGGACAATCTCATCCATATTGCTATAAAATATAGCATTCTGTGTAGAATTCAAATAGCTCTGATACATTTTGTGGTCTGCGCCGACTCGCGCATGTGATTCGCTCCGTGCTATATGTGATCCGCTCCGGAGCAGAGTGTGTGTGCGGTGCGGTGGTTAGCGTGACACAGAGCGCAAAACCAGACTTTTTTTTTTCCTCAATGGAAAGCATATTTACACTGTTTGAATCATTCCCTGTCCCCTGTATGGTGCACTACGTGCCATTCACATTGTAAAGAAAATACTAATTCTGTGGACAAGTGACCGATTTCAGCCACGGCTTCAGCGTCTATTTTACTGTGTAGGGGGCGGGCGCTTTGGATTCTAGAGAGCATTTGATTGGACAGAAAGTTTGATGAGAAGCTGAAGTATGATGTGACGTCAAAAAAAATCTTTGAGCCGTTTTGACGGAAGTGAGGAACTGCAAGCTTTGAATGCTTATATCTTCTAAATGCGAATTTTGTCACTGTTTTGGAGCACACTGCCTTATAGATAACCTTAAGATGAACATATTGATACTAACACCCAAAAACTTAAATTTTGATTTCATGGGGACTTTAACATTGCCTATTTTTCTGTTTACAGGTGATTCTTCTAGAGTTCTTACCAAAGTATCCTATATTCAGACCTGACTAAAGGACTTCTACTGGATCCTCGTGGAAGGCCCTTCATTCCTCTCCTTAGTGCCTTGTATATATGTCAGATTGAGGGTCTTCACTGGGTTTCTACAAGACCCCTTCTCCCAGTACCTTGTACATTAGAATTCGCAACACTGTCACTTTGCTTTAGAGCAGATTTTGCACATTTCCTGATGGTAGTAGAAGCGCTCCTGTGTTGCACTCAGAAGTTTTGTTACATATAATGAGAGATGGGAAGAAAGCAAACTCTGATGCTGTTTAAAAAGTGCATTTACCCCAAAGAGCCATCAAGTCCTCCCCACATACTATATCATGATATTGTTAAGAACAAGGTACCTTATGGTGTGAATTTGCGTTATGTTAAAGGACAACCTTTTTTAAATCAGACGTGTAAGTGCAGGAGTCAGAAGTGTGTGGTGTTTTAATGTTTTCAGAATGTGATGTCTAGCATTGGGGCTTTTTGAAGCTAGTGCAGCAGATGTTTGAACTAGCTCAGCACCGTGATCTGGCGCTTTTGCGATTGTCTACTACACGGGGAAGTCAACAAACTAACTTGTAAATATCATGGACAGGATGTACAGTGTGGTTTACCATGTTTACACTATGTATGGTTATTAGCTGGTTATTAGTTTTTCGCCAAGATATTATTGTAGCATAGTTTGTTTATAAGCCGTGTCTCTGTAACTTTAAAGTTTATATGGACCTGTTTACCCAGTAAGCCATAAAATGTACGTACAAGATGCCACTCGAGTTAGGGCTGAAAATTGCACTTGAGCACACGATTGTCCTTGAGGTATTTGATATTGTGTGTTTTAAAATGATAACATATGCCAATCAAGCTAAATTTGTTACCAAGAGTAATGTGTCATTCATTTTTGCACCAAGTGAAATTTACCTATTCAAGTTTTTGTTGGAACATAATTTGTACCCTGTATTTTTTCTTCGTGTTTTGTTTCTGTTCTTTCAGTACAGCATCATCTTGAAGTACGTGTTTTAGTTGTGTTCATGGATGCTGTATGCTGTGGTTCTGCTCCTGAGGTAACTACACACACAGCATTGTATATGTAATGGTTAAAACTGCCCCTCATCTATTTTCTATAACTGTATGACATCTTTGCTCCACTGTAAGCATGACTGCGTTAGTTGAGTGCCTCTGTAGATGGTCTTGAGAGGGAGCTGTGCTTAAGAGGAATGATTCTTTGCCTAGCAATCTAATGGAGAGAAAGGAATCTGCTCTCAGTACTGGTTCTGTTAAAGTACCTGTAAATATGCTGTATGCTGTGGTTCTGCTCCTGAGGTAACTACACACACAGCATTGTATATGTAATGGTTAAAACTGTCATTCATCTATTTTCTATAACTGTATGACATCTTTGCTCCACTGTAAGCATGACTGCGGTTAGTTAGTGCCTCTGTAGATGGTCTTGAGAGGGAGCTGTGCTTAAGAGGAATGATTCTTTGCCTAGCAATCTAACAGAAAGAAAGGAAATCTGCTCTCGGTACTGGTTCTGTTAAAGTACCTGTAAATGTTTGTCCCTACCTAATCCTATGGAAAGCTTCAATAAATTCCTGATTTTGATGTTTTTGAACAACATTCTCTTTATGTGTATATATGGCCGTATTTAAAAAATGAAGAAACATTAAAGGAAATTCATATATATATATATATATAGGTAACACTTTACAATACGGTTCATTAGTTAACTACTTTAGTTAACATTTACTAAGCATGAACAATACTTCTACAGCATTGATTAATCTTAATGTAACATTTACTAATACATTATTAAAATTAAAAGTGCTTGTTAACATTAGTTAATGCACTGTGAAATAACATGAACTAACAATGAACAACTGTATTTTAATTAACATTAACAAATATTAATAAATACTGTAATAACTAAACATGTATTGTTCATTGTTTGTTCATGTTAGTTAATACATTAACTAATGGAATCTTATTGTAAAGTGTTGCCTATATATTTATATATTATATATAATGTACAATTTTAAGTAATTTTCCTTTATTTCTTTATAATTTTTAAATATGGTCATTCATTGTTCCATTAATGGGTTAAAAATGGAAGTTATGAGGTTAACAGGTAATTTGAGAGCAAAGTGAATAGTTGACTTGTGCAAAAAAAATTTTAAAGTTTATTTTTAAGGCTTATTCACTTTATATGATAACTTTGCTATCTGTGTTATAGTATGCATAACTAAAACTTTAACTACTGTTTGATGTCACAGCTTTATACAGTAACAGCAAAGATTTCAAATCAAAAGTATAAAAAAAAAGCTGTAGAGTAATCCTTAGAGTTTAAAGTATTACTTTAGAAATGGAAATAATCCAAACAGATTAAATAGATACCTGCTTTTAAAGTTGTGATCTTAATGTTACTTTCCGTCAAAGATAGAACTGACCAATTGGTTTGCATTATGTAGAGCAGGGCTGCAAAGAGGGGAGTGAAGAATAAACGCAACTCAGCATGAATGATTCAGATACAAACAGCTGCATTTGAGATAGTCTGTTCATTTTCACTTGTGTTTTATGGATTTTACGCTTCTGAAATGTTCATTTAGCAACAGCTTACTGCATAAAAATAAAAATTACGTTGAAATGTTGAGTTTTATATGGGCTCTAGGGGGCAGGCTAAGACGCAATGAAGAATGTGTAGCGGTGTGAGTGCATGAAATTATTGTTCATTGTTTGTTCATGTTAGTTAATACATTAACTAATGGAATCTTATTGTAAAGTGTTGCCTATATATTTATATATTATATATAATGTACAATTTTAAGTAATTTTCCTTTATTTCTTTATAATTTTTAAATATGGTCATTCATTGTTCCATTAATGGGTTAAAAATGGAAGTTATGAGGTTAACAGTTAATTTGAGAGCAAAGTGAATAGTTGACTTGTGCAAAAAAAAAATTAAAGTTTATTTTTAAGGCTTATTCACTTTATATGATAACTTTACTATCTGTGGGAGCAGTGTGAGTGCATGAAATAAAAAATTTGGCCTAAAATAATGTCTGAGAATGTCCTGGTACATGACATGTCACATGCATGTCATCGCTCGCCCTTCAAACTGCTCAGATGGTGTGATACTCCACAGGGCAAAGCTGCAGATATTGCCTGGGAATCAAATCACCACAGGGACTATAATAAATGATTTGGGAGTGAAATATGTGGCTTTAGCATTAATTCTTGAATAACAGAGAAAAGCATCACCGTGTAAACCAAACCGGGTTAAGATGCCACTGTTCTGGCAGATGAGATTTTGATCTCAAAGCAGTGTAGAATAATTCTCAGCAGATTACATGCATATTATTATGAAATATAAATCATTATTTGGAAAACTGCTAGTTAATAAAATTATAGAAAAGACCTAATAGAATCAATTACAACTATATTATACTACGAATCAGAAGAGTGAACATAAAACAGCCACTGCTTAGAACAAGGACGTAATAAAATAAAACACATTTTTATTCTGTCATCATAACCCTTTCACATTTGCTGTGCTTGTCCAAAGACCGAACATCATTGAAATGTACTAAAATGCATAAAAAATTAAAAGGGTTGACCTTACAGATATAAGAGGCAAAAAAAAAAGCATTCAAATAAACATTCTACAGTTAATGAAAGGCCAAAGATAACAATTGTCATTTTTGGTATACAGGCAATTAAGGCAGGTGTGGATCAGTGTGTTGGTACATATTCATAGCCAAGGCACCCAAGAGATACATTCTTAAAAATGTGTCAAACTAGCCAAGCTGTGGTTTAAAAAACAGTCCATACTATCACCCCAACAGCAACTACATAGTTTTACACAAATGTAACTAATCTCAGAACATATAACAGTGTAAAAAGTGTCATCAGAGGGGCCATCAACATGAGAATGTAATGTGGTCCAACTCCAGGTAGTCAAAACAATTACTCATATTTATTACCTCACTACTGACCACTCAATCATAAACCTTCTAAAAGATTATTACTGGTTATATATGGAAACAAGAAGTTCCATACTATAATATACCCAGACAAGTGGCATGATAAATATAACTTCTTGTTAAACAGGAAGTCAAGCTTGTCCAGTGCCCTCAAGTGCAGTTCACACTTTTTCACCATTACAGCTCAACAAAATGCACTGCACACTTGTGAAACACTGAATGCCTACAGTGGGTTAAATAATATCAACCTTTCGGCTTGCTTTTAAACCTTGGGTCAATGATTGTTAACAGACGTCCTCAGTTCTTCAACCTGTTCTTAAGAGAGGCCACGATAATGCTCAAGACATCTCTTCTCCAATAACAGACTTGTGCATCAACTTAAAATCCATCTTGCGGTGGACCCAGTAACAGTGATAGAGCTCAGGCTAGTCTTTAAACCAGGCTGCCAGGCCAGGAGACCACGGTCAATGTGACTTTGTTCTTCTGCAGTTTCAGCATTGGGATCAAGGAGGAGTTATTCATGCCAACTGTAGTGACTCCATTCACAGCCACAATCTCATCGCCGCACCTGCAGGAGAGCAGGAGGGAGTCAATAAACAAAGCATTTCATTTTATAGAGGCAAACTTGCTGCACTTTGTGGTCAGTAAGATGTTTTTGAAAGAAGTCTCTTATGCTCACCAAGACTATTTATTTGATCAAAAATCCAGTATTGTGAAATATTACAATTTATAATAAATGTACTCCATTTTAATATATTATCAAATTAATTTATTCCTGTGATGGCAAAGCTTAATTTTTTTCTTACTCCAGTTATCAGTGTCAATAATTCAGAAATGATTCTATGATGCTGATTTGCTGTCAAGAAACATTTCTTCTTCTTATAAATATTTGAATACATTTGTGCTGCTTCATATTTTTGAGGAAACTGTGACTTTTTTTTTACAGTATTCTTTGATGAATAGAAAGTTCAAAAGAACATACTTGCATCCTTGCTAAATAAAAAATTTATTTAAAGAGCAACAACAAAATCGTCTTACTCACCCCAAACTTTTAACTAGTAATGCTGATAAAGAGGACAAGAGACTCACTTGAGGCGTCCATCAAAGTGAGCTGGTGTTCCAGGCACTATGGTCTTAATGAAGAAGGGCTGCTGGCCACGACTCTCCTCATATCCTCCCACAATACTGAAGCCCCAGCTCTCACAGTTGGTCTTCATCAGCATAATATCACGACACCAGTGGATGTAACTTGGGATTAAAATATATGGTCAAATTATGAATTTTGCTCATGTTTAAGCCCATACGGTCATATACTATCTTAAAAGTTATAGAAGAGGACATCAAATTTGAATATTGCACTCAATCAATATCACAACATACCCAGTGGGAAAAAAAATTGTACCTGGGCAGGCCCAACCAGCAGGTCCAGAGAGGAGCCCAGTTAATGTCATCCTCTTTGGGTCCCTCCAGTGTGTCCATGTCTTCTCTAGTGCTGGATTCTCCATCCTGTTCCTCCTCCTCCTCAGCAAAAGTTTGGATGACTTGCAGCGTTACTGTGTTCTGAGCAGCCTGAGTCTTTAGGATGGTCACCGCCTCATTGTAGGTCAGATGGGTCAGGTCCATACCATTTATACTCAGCAATACATCACCTGGGAAACGGCAGCCATGACATCACAGTTAACTCAAGCATTGCACATGAAGTTCACAGAGAAGAGCATTTTATATGGAGCCATGACTGAGGAGAATAACCTGTTTTGATGGTGCCATCTCTGTGTAGGCAGCCCACCGGCTGCACGCTAGTGATGTAGACAGGCAAACAGCTGCGGCAGTCTCTCCCACCTGCGATGGTGATGCCTAGAGAGTGTCGAGGTTCCTTCTTCAGACTCACTGTCTTCTCTTGACTGGAGAACCCAACTGGAGGCTCCTGAATCCAGATAATGCGTATTAAACAACTTGCACAACACAAATTTACTCAAAAGAAATGTTTTAATGTGGATTTAAGTAACAACAACTTTCACCAGCAGCTGAATTAAGTACAAGTATATGCACAAATAGTCATGTAAACACTGCACCAGTCAATTTTTTTTGCGCAGTTGGACTAACAGATCTAGATTTTGAAATGCGATTGCAACTTGGTTTTATCTACTATGAACAATAACTTTCAAAAAAAATGTATAAGAATTTATTTTTATCTTTTAATGTTTTTGATTGAATGTCTCTTATGCTCACCAAATTTGTATTCATTTGATCAAAAATACAGTAAAAACAGTATTTTTTTCTTTAAAAAATAAATTGTACTGAATCCACACTTTTGAACAGTGTACACACAGTAAACAGACTACAGCTGGCCTTGCATTGTGAGCATGCTTTGAAAAACAGAATTGATGGTTTAATCCTTCAAATATTTGATTAAGTATGGTTACAGTTGTGTCATGTATACTTAAAAGACTGTACCTCAACTTACTGCAGATCCACTGTAACTGCGCATGTAAGTGTGCTTAATGATTAATGATAATTGAGTGTTCTGAAAAGGTCTGTACTTGGGGGATGGGTGAAAAGTGAAAGCTTAAGACATGTGCCTGACTCCTGCGGTGAAAACATTTGTAAAAAACAAACATCCCAGATCCAGCTGCGAAGCAGAAAGATGCGTTATGTGAG